CACACGACTCTTCCTAATGGCTTGTAATAGAAAATAGTTTCTCATCGTCACCTCTGGAAGGTGTTCACAAAGGCCGCTACGTTTCTTCTTTTCCTATTATTATTTTAATCTTTGCGAGAGTAATTTTGTGTTTTTTTGGTGGCGACTCTTCCATTGGCAGATGCGGATGAGGTACCTTTTAACCCACTGTACACAGACACAGGTCGAGGCTGAAGTGTTTGGAGCATTTCGGAAAGATTTGAGTCTCGGGGAGCTTTTGGCTCCATTTTGCAAGAAAAGCCTTTAATGATGCAAATGCACCTTCAGTACAGTATAACTGCTCAGTGTGGGTCGATGTATGTGGGTGAAACACGTGAACATCTGAGAGTCTGATTATAGCCTTCATGCTGTGTGGATAGGTGCACTGCACACCTGTAACAAACCTGTGCAGGCTGGGTTATGGTGGCCCAGCAGCCGGTGGAGGAGAGTTTACATTCAAGCAAACAGGCGTAAAACTCCCTGCTGGGCTCTTTTTGTTGAATTTGTTTCATGAAAAATATTTCTCTCACTCACACACTAAATAAAATAAATATTAAATATTATTTTTGTGTTTCCCAAAAGGTTGATTCTGTTCATCATCATCATCATCATCAGGTGACTCCTTCAGTCTCAGCCGACTGCAGGTTTCAAACCTTATAAACAGGACTTTTGCACAATAACAGCCCACTGAAGGAACACTGGGCTGTGGGTCAGTTTATGATCATTGATAACTGTCATCAACAACCACTGATCAATAACCATGAGTCCCATCCACAGAGAGTTGAATGGCTGCAATCACAGCATGTAAGATGGTGACAGATGGACCCTTAGGCCCCGCCTCCATTCAGAGATGGTCTTTTCCCTTTTCACCACTAAACAATAAGCAGCACACACGACTTGAGCTACATTTATTTATTTGGTTTTAGGCATTGAATTTGATGGAGCAAAGAGAAAGGGTGGTGTAAAGCACAGAGCTCAGACAGCTGGAGGTCACAGACATGCTTCTGTCAGCCGGAGGCTTTTCTCTGAAACACTCCTGAGTTTAAACTAACAACCTAAATAAAATCCTTCTGCCCTCCAAAACACAAACAGTTTACAGTTTGTGCTCCAAAGGTTTTTCTCTTTGTGTGTTTCGTGCATGTTTCTGAAGATATTTCTGTACGAGCACATTATAGGTGAGAAATTAAGTAGTTAGTGTTTTGTTCCCTATTGTAGCAGTGATGGATTCACCACACACGGACAGGCTGGGCTAAATAAATAATGTAATCAGTTATTCTGTGTAGCTGTGAAAGTGTCTCTGAGGGCGACTGAAGGACAAATGTGACAGCATGGTGTCCACCTGCTGCCTGTCTGCTCTGCATTTCCACACCTTTCATGTTGACCGGAGGACAGGCCCCCGCCTCAGCAGGTTAAAGCTTTGTGTAAAAATATAACAGTACAAAGGTTTGGGAGCGCTGAAGCACTTAGAATTATTAAAGCATTGTTTCTCCAGTCTCTACTTTTCTACTTTTGTCTTCTAATCGCTGCCTTTGGGCCACTTGTGAGTTTAACGCCTCAAACAACAGACAGCTCACAACACTTGCTCGAAGGCTCAAAGTAACGTCTAACAAACATCTCCACGTCACTCTCACGTGTGTCAGAGGGAGAAAACAGAAACGTCGTTGACTCTAATAACAATAATATTAATAATCAAACATTCGTTTTGGCACCGTTTCCTGTCACAGCAGGAAGAACAAAAGAAGCTAACATGTTCCTCTCAAATGGCACTACACACTTCATACTACAAAAACACTTTTTTGGTATCACATTTGTTTCGCAGCTTTCATCTGCAACAGTGGAAATGAAGAGAAAATTTCTTCTGGTGGTGTGAGCAAACGCTCATCGGGTCGACCGGTGAACCTCGAGGGAGGGAAACCATCATCGTTAACGTGTCAGAGTCCAAGCTGGATTCTCCCAGTCGTTCTCAAACTGGGATGAATTTTATAACAAAAGGAAAAAGGTGATAAATAATGTTTGCTTGCAGGACGTTGATCGTCCTACGATACGCGAGTTTCATGATACCTACAATTAAATCATTTCATGCAAAGAGCCAAACTGAAAGTAAGAAAAAGACAAAATCACAGTTTTCTTCTGACTTCTGAGCTGAAACCAAAGCGTTTGGGTTCTTCATGCTGCGTCTGCCCTCGAGGTTCAACCGCTGCTTTTACATATTTGTGTTATTTGGTCACATATTTCTTCAACATATTTGGCAAAAACTCACCTAAAAATAACAATTAGTATTCCTCATAGATACAAAATTATTCAACATATCGTACATCTTCATATAGAGACATTTAAAAGTTAGAATCAGTGGAATCTGAAGGGTCCGCCTGGAGACTCGAACAAAAGCAAGAAAGCAAACGATGTTTAAAGCTGAGGTGTCCCACTTCCAGGAACGATCCAAACTCAAAGTAAATGTATTTCTATAGTAAGTTTGAAACGAACATAAAGAAAACCATGAAATCTTTATATCTTTGGGTTTCATTCATCTTGGTTTTCATAAAAACTTTTTGGATAGGCAGCCGGCGTGAAGCGTGGCGCTCGTCTGTGCATCCGGGCACGTGGCACAGTAAACGCCGGAGTCACTGAAGTCCGAATCGACCAATTTGGCAGCGTGGCAGCGAGGCCTCGGTCATTTTTTGGATTCAGTTATGCAGATCAACAAAGACAAGCTTCCTGTTTTGCTCAGTGGAGAGAAAAAAGAGGACGCTGGGTCGTTTCATCATGTTGTGCTCGACATACTTCCAAATATGTCTGTGGAGGAAAAGCACGAACATCTTCTGACGTCACAGAAATGGAGAAATTCCACCAAAAGCATGAGAAGCTGAGGCGTGATGGAGGCTCGGGCTGAGACTCCACA